TGAAGACGAATAAGGAGCCTTGGACTAATCTTGAAGTCGAATGTAATTGTAGAGCGAGAGACTGCAGGTGTTGGGAAGTGTTTGGGTTAAAAATTAAAGCATTCTCCCCGTTAGAGGCGTTTTCATTTTCATGTGTGATACGTTCTAATTTGTTACAGAATCTAGCTAGCAGAACCTCCTAAGATTTAAGCGATGTTGGTCTCGTCATCGCTCAGAAAACGGATGTCTTGTCCCATATACGAATCCTTTTCTCAATACTAATCGCTTGAGAAGGAGACGCTAGGAAACCTGCAAAATTGCGAAAAAATGAACTGTTGATTTGTTTGTATGTTCTCCTCCAATAAGAGGGTCTACTAAAGTGTATACAGTTGTATCCAGATAGGATTCAAAAGCCTTGCAAGCTATTTGATGGGAAGAAATTGAAGAGAAAAAACAAATGCCCCGCTACTTGCGCGCGGCACGCACTTCGACACGCTTTTTTCTGACTAAAGGCTGTTCAGCGTGGAAGAAATGTTGCGATCCCGGAGAATACAAATATTTCACACTACGAGTGCTGAAGCCGCTAAGGACAGTAGATCGTTTCTTGTAGATATTTTCATTTGGGTTACAATCTCTACCATTAGAGCGATATCGCAAATTTTGGTCGAGAAATGTTCAAAATTTAATTCGAACTTATTTAGGAAGGGTTTCAAGAAAGGATGCAGCTTAGGGTCAGAAATTTTTCCAGGGATACGATTTGAAAACCACGGCGCACTTGCACACAAATGGGAAAAGATCAAGGTTGGTGCTGAGGAAATGTTCACGACTTTGTCCCTGCTTCCGATCCTCCTACGAATTTTTCGGATCACAATGTGATGGGATGTTGGATATAATCGATACTGGAGAGGAAAGTCGCGGTCCAAAACGCACCACTATTGCTGCTCCTACAAAATCTTCGGAAAAAGCCCTGGCTTGAGTTTCTCAATTAACTCTGCGTGTCACCGTCGATGGGTAGCCGAAGGTCTTCGAGATATAATTAGTACAGGAGGCAATTATATAAGACGACCGTATGTTCGTTTCGTAGATGCTATGCATAGCAAATAACTCACACGAATTCACCATGTATCAATGTCAACTGAGGTATCTGTAGCCCATTTCTTTTGTTACCATATTTACTGCGCACCCTGTATATGTGGCGAGGCTGCGAGAAACGGGTCACCATCGCGACGAACGCGAGCTAGAATATCTGGGAAGCTTCGTCCACAATAATTGTACGACAAGAAGCAACTGAAGTTGATAATTGAGTAACCTCTCACGCTGTGTAACTTGTCATTTGACTACTCTCACAATATGTCGTTGCACATTTCGCCACTGACACTATCGTTTACGTCAAACATGGTTACTTAAAACAAGTACTAGTTCTAACATCAGAAGCTAAAGCAAGGCTATATAATGTAGAGGCAAGAGCAGAAGGTCATAACATAAGGTAATGCACGAGTAACATAAGACAAGAAGTGACTGACAACTTGACGACATGAGGATATGTAATTGCCGACATGAGGATATGTAGCTGACGACATGTGAATATGCCACTGAAGGCATGAGAATATGTAACTTAAGAAGGAGACCAGGGTCTTGAGAATGCAGCAAAAATGAAACTGGCGAGGTGGCTGGACTGTGGCTACTCTTCTTCAGAAGGCAGTTGCCCGTGCGCAATCCTCGCCAGCTGCAAAGGTCCTTTTGTGCGGTGTTTTTGCCGTCTGTGTTCACCATGTGTATTCTGGAATCAAGTCAGCTCCGCTTGATATGAGTAATAGTCCATATCGATGAGTTTAATGAGAAATAATATGAAATCGTGTGTTACCTACGATATAGACGTGAAGCTTTGCTTTTTTGTGTGTGAAGACCTCTTCAGCCAACAAACCTCAGGTTGGACTACGAATGCAACAGCAGAAAGACGCGAATGCGGGTAATCATCAATTTGACTACGGGAAAGGAACACCGATACTCAGTGCTTTCGCACCGCCATGTGCAATCTCTAACGACTCTGACTTGCTGGATCTTGGAGAATTGCCAGGTATATGTCACATGATCATTCGTCAGTGTTGTTTTCATACGGTTTGCTTTAAAGCCTTTAGCTCCAGAAGTATCGGTTGTGCCGGGTCAAGCGGTGGTGGATCCGTTATCCATTTCAAATAAGACTAACTGGACGACTCCATCAGCAACAGCGCTTGTAACTGCGTCTGAGGCTGGGCTCTGTAGTGCTCATCAGACGACTGCTAATCTTTTTGGTGAGTTGCGAGTCTCCAACAGCAATTCGTTGCCTCTCGCCTTGTAATAAGTAGGGCATACTATACTTACACATATTATACTCATATGAAACTCGAAGTCTAGATTCATTAAACATCAGTACTTCATCGTCGATTCATCGCAATGTGTCGGCACCAGCATTCCAACAAAACTCGAAAGACCTCGATCCGTTTGCTGAGTTCCTCTCGCAAAGTGCAAGTAATCCTATCAGCGCACAAGGTATTTAACTTCCTTTTGGAGGCTAAATTATCTTGCGACTCATATTGCAGCTTTAGCGTTTAATAGCGAGTCCACGGTACCGATGCCATCGAGGCCATATTACAGTCGAACAGCGTTCGACAATCTCAACAGCAGTACGATAGTAGAAAAGGCTAAAGTAACTGGTGATGTGTTTGAAGATCTGCTCACAAGCCATGTATGTTTACTGACCTCCTTCTTCGACTTTACGTTCTTTTTGTTCTCTTTCTTCTGATGCCGCACTCTCACAACCACAGTTGCGCTCAAGTTCGCCGAAACACTTTTTTGGATGTAACTTTTCCCTTTATCGTCCGAATCGCATGAAATTTTGAGTTGTTTGTAAGGGTTTTTCGGAACGAGGCATAACCAAGAAGACGAGAACTCCCTTGTGAAACAGTACCCACTGTGAAAGTTTCCGTGATGAAAGTGTTTTGATGGCCAAACATCAAGCAATCTCGTCGATTCTCCATCACTATAACTTAAGGCAATCCCTTTGTGATACCCTATTCTTGTTTTATTGCGAATCCGACTTTGCAGCGGAATGAAAGCAATGGCAGCAACATTAGTCAGCGGAAGAAAAGCAGTCGGAGGACCATTTGCCACTGCAATCAATCGGAAGGTTCGAGTGGACTTTTACGGGAGGAACAATTTTGGCTTGTTTGGGTGTTTGTTTGTTTGGATGGTATAGTCATGTAGGACGCCTCTGCTGTTAGATATTCACTCAATAGTTCGCTAACCCTATGTAGGTCAAGTATGACTGGGAATCAGTGAAGGTTTTTGCTGTCTTCTCGCGGAATGGAATTTCTCCTTTCATGTGATTTGATGGAGCGGTGACGGGCAGAACTTACAAGTACATGATGGTGGATGATGTGTCTTCGTAAGGGCCGCAGTATGCCGATGGATGGATTCTGTAACAGAATAATGGTTCAAGGGTCGCAATTTTGCTTCTGGTAAGCAGGAGGTCAGAATTTCCGCCTGGTCGAGCCATTTCGCTGCCAAAAATTCAACAGAATACGTATGAGGAGAACTTGGAAGACGATGCCCGAAGAAACCAATCACGAACAAGGATGCAAACTTCGCTCAGTGGTGATAGGATGGAAGGCAGAAGTGCAGGCGACTATGATCTAGAAGCTCATGAAAATGTTGCCTCCTCGCTTAGCTGTAGTCGTCAAGAATCATGATTTTCCCATTAAATTTCTGTCCTTTCCAGCGTTCCCAAATGGGAAAAGTCCGGCTGTGAAAACTGAAAGAGCTGTGTGTGGAACGTTTACCTCTACGTTTATCGAACAAGGTTATGGGTTTGCTTTCTTACTCGTGTTTCCTTTGAAATTGGACTTTTTGCACCTAATCTCTCCTCTACTTTTTTATTATGGATAGATTCGTACCCTCTGACAGATATTGCCTATATTGGAACGTCTTTTCTCAAGGCGGACCTGCGTGTTAGTTTTATGCTCTAGACTTGATAATGACTTAGGTTTTTTTTCAAGAGTCTCTGCTCAATTGGAAACAATGGGTACTGTAAGAACGCATCGTTATGGGTTGCTAGACTTTCACGTCATCATCGATGGAGAGTAGGCTGTGATGGTGTGAGCCGTTTTCGAAGAATCGTGTTCCTCTGTAATGAGATCTTCTCTTGTGTGATCAGGAATGTGAGAACCATTTTTTTCGTGTTGCCTGGGATCGGATAGCATACTGCTGTGGCTTTTGTGGACTTGATTAAGGTGTTGCCCAAATCCGTCGCATCTGATGTTACTTAAAGGCACGATTCCGATAAAAATGGTTACTGGGTTCTTCCCTTAGGAATAGTCATTGGCCCCCATGGGTGGTAGAAGGGTTCCCCTCGCTCCCAAAATCTCGACCGTCAGGGCATAGTAGAAGCACTGTTGCTGTCTTGAGTCGCTTTCCCGTCTCTCGATCGATGTCATGCCAGACGAATGCCGAGACAATACGGATTGCGAATATTCGTTCTACGACCCACACACAATCAGCTCATCGCCGAATGAGGAGGCGATGTTTTTCTCTCATTCTTTCTTCCTCTGTTATTCTTTTTGCTGCCGCCTTGTTCAATTTCCTATCCCAAGGGGCTGAGAAGGTTAGCTATTTTCCCTGTAACTAGGGTTTTTGTTTACTTATGCTTATAAGCGAATGAATTTTTGCTTACCATAGTCAGATATTTGCACCAGAACCCACACGTACGCAATGACGCATTGTGCATAACTCTGTGCAAACGCCCCACTCTTCTTCATTCTTCTGGTCTCATTCTCGTCCAGTCCCCTTTTTAACGATTTTTCGAGGCCTTTTTTCACTTCGGAAACCTCGATCCACGCAGTTCCTTCGCCTCCATCGCACTATTTTCCATCTTACCTTCCATTTTTCGTCATAATCTGGGTTACCCAAAACTATCGTGAACAGTGCCTTTCATATGTTCATAGGGATTCACAGCGTCGAGGAACGCGAGTCGGACGGTGGGCGATATGATTAAAGCGAGAGCGATCAAGGATATGGACCCAGTAACGTTAAAGGTTCGTGAAGATATGATTAGCTATGAAGTTTTTGAACTCTATCAATTAAAATTAAGGTCAGGGACTGGGCTGGCGGAAAGGAGAAGAACATAAGAGATCTTCTCGGCTCATTAAATGATGTTCTATGGGAGGGTGCGGAGAAATGGCAGCAGCCGCGAATTGGAGATTTGCTGAGTGCAGCACAAGTTGGTTTTTTTGCTTGTATCGGTTGTATTCGTATGAATTGTCTTTAGCAGATCTCGTTGTACGTGAAGCAGTTTCGCGAAGAGGTAGTGGCAATTTAAGGTAAGGCGAAACTACTACAAAGCATGTCTGGTTGTGCATCCTGACAAGCAAGTTGGTGAGCCACATGAGGAGCTTGCACGGGCGATCTTCACTAAGTTGAAAGAGGCATGGAATGCTTTTGAGAAGATTGGTGATGAATTGCTATAGGTTGCTTAATTGATCCTAGCCTAGGTCTTGCGTTGCGCTATATTTGCCATATTCGTTCTATTGTATCCGCCCATTCACCTCCGCATGGGCGCTTAACGTAGTGTTTTTCCCTGTCTGTTTACTGCATTTACCTATTGTCTGTCTGTCTGCCTCCGGGTTCTTCTTTAATAGAACATGTCGTGTTATATGCTTATTCCACTGTCTATGAAATGGGCATCGTTCACAAATATGTGAATTCGAGGGTTACTGCTTTCCGCCGTTTCCTTCTATGAGCAAGATTTAATCTTCGTCGGGTGTACTTTTCGCCTTGGTATTTATTTATCATTGCTGACGATAAAATATGGGATAATTGTGCAGATTACGTATCAGCAGACTACTATTAACCGAAGAAGAACACGGTCACTAGCGCTTAGGTATCACGGTACATCACATCCCAACAAGACTCACATCCTGCAGTTGCATAGTGCAATTTTACACGACCAATTTTCATGATACCCAACTCTTTAGTTTAGTGAGCAAGGAGAGCTTGGACGTTCTGTATGACAGTCTTCATGCATTCTCGCCAGTCACCGTCATGTTTCAGTGAAATATGTGTATCTCTGATTGTTGGCATCGCTTGTGGATTGCAGGTTCTTACATCCGAAACAATGCATATCTTCTAGGGAATGAATGATATCAAGTTAGGTTGATCGGGCCTATACCTGAATGTGTAGCCGACTTAGGGATGCTTCTGTAGAGAAATATAGGTACTTATATAAGTTTATTAAACAGTAATTTACAAAGGGAGAACACAAAAGAGGGACAGGGGGAGAGGGCAAGACGGGAGGGCAGGTAGTAGTCTTGACGAAGGGTCGGGGTCAGCCTGGCGGCTAAGGTGACATCCGAGACCATGACTCCATGGAGCAGCTCCTTTTATACCATGGTTTCTACATCAGTATGATGAAACCTTGATAGATGGCATGACAAGGTGCGTCGGCGAAGCTGATGAAATCCTGGCTGCTGTCTCGAGCATGACTCAGCTCACGTGTAACTCGACATCTCCATTCCTTGCTCGTCCTCGAGCTTTGAGGATCGTTCCATATGATGTTAAGCATTTGATGATAGATGTGCATAGAGTAAAATTATGAGTCAGCAAAAATTTGCGAGAAAATTGAACTGCCAAACGAGACAAGATGTTGATACAGGCTAACCTCACAAAAGTCTAGTGTGCCACTCGTTTGAGAAAAAACTCGTTCTCAAGTTGAAAATATGAGAATTACATGGTAATGATTATAGGTGCGGAGGAAATGTAATATATGTGATAGTAGATTACATAAGTGGCTTTCTGAGTTATACTTATACAATATGGTTTACCTTGTGTGATAGTGTGTTTTATATCAGTTATACAATGATGGTTTTTAACTTGTCAAAGACAGCATGGTGAACATTATCAATATTATTCTTAGACGTGACAATATCAATATGTTGTGTTTGAATAAGCATATATTTCATTTGCACATGATAGTCAACTTGTGCACAGTTCTGATTCCCAGCCTAGTTAAGGTATACGAATAGTAGACTAGTAAGGTTGACGAAGCGTATATTAGTCTTAGTGTTATTCGACTAATATACGGACAGTTAAGACACTATGATACGAATACTAGTCTTGGCACTGCACACTTTTTGGTCGACTAGTGTAAGGGCGTAATTTTGATATTAAATGAAAGAAGATTGCTGTGCATTGTTTCCTTGAACCGCCCATCCAAGGAAATGTGTTCGTAAGAGGATGTGAAGTCAAATAAAATTCTTTAACTTACTCAGGGTTGTGTTCTCGCAGTGAGAACACATGTTGTAGCTCAATCATAATGGTCTGTTGCCTGATGGCGACGAGACCCTCGTACTATTGGTTGTTCAACGCTACTCGATGCTTCTATGTTTTGTTTAAATGATTGTGTGATGTTTGTATTAGAAGCTTCAAGTGGCATTGAACGAGGAGAATGCAGTCTCAAACGGTTAATATGAACTGCTTGTCGCGCTGGGCGACCTACGAGGTTAGTGATCGTTAATTGAGGCGTATCATCTCTTCGATCACAAAAGGGCCTTTCCACTGGTTTGTGAGTTTGGGACGAACTGTGTCGTCATGCAAAAGGACTGGGTCGCCAGTGGGAAGATCCTTTGGGTATACCTCATTGTGAAGATCGTAGCCCATCTTGTATCGAGCAGTTTTCGAGGCGATCTCTTTGCCAACGTACGTGATGATGTTTTTCAGACAAGTGGTGAAGTGGTCCGCAAAAATCATACGTTGTTAATGACGTGAAGGAAGGAAGTTCATGGAGTATGTCGCTCCATGTGATGGGACATCGTCCATATACGATGAAGTATGGACTATAACCTGTTGTTACGTTTGCACTGGTATTGTAGGCAAGCACCACGGGTTGCAATAAGTCACTCCAAAGACCTCTGGTTTCTGAGCAATATGCTGTAAGAGAGTCTGTTATTACTTTGACCAATCTTTCAGCTTGCCCATTAGTCTTGTGATCGTAGCTCGTGGTAACATTCTTAGTGATACCAATTATTGATCTTGGAAGTTTGATCCGGGTCCGAGATCAGTTCTTTGGGGATTCTGTGTTTTGAGATTACACCATTCAAAAGTGCCCTAACTAATGACTCGGCCGTTTGATCTACAAGAGCAGTGCAAACTATATATTTGCTGAAGACACAAACAGATATTGATATGTACCTACTTCCGTCCACACATTGCGGTAATGGTCCGATGATGTCGGTGTGCAGTCGCTCGAATGGTATTTTGAAGAAACCACTTTTGAAATCGAGGACTGTGTAGATTGCTTTGCCACTTACAAAGTCTAAAATGTCCTGCATATGTGGTACGCAATATGTCTCAGTTTCCGTGGAATTTATTTGCCTATAGTCGACGGTGAATCGCCATTGGTCCTTGTTGGGACCTTTCTTAATTAACACTATAGGTGATGCGAATTTGCGGACGCTTGGCTCGATAATGTTAGTTCTTAACATTTCCTTAATCTGACGTTCTATTTCTTGCCTTTTTTCAGCGGGACGCGGTATGGTTTTTGTTTAGGAATCTCTGGATGGGGGATAAAGTTAATGGTGTGGGTGATTGGTCCGTTGTGCCGGTCCAAATCCCCGTCATTGCGTACAAAACAGTTATTATATTTAGAAAGGAGGTTCTGAAATTGTTGAAGGATTTTTTGGTTTAAGAGTGAGCTATCAAATTTTACTTGCTGATAAACAGGTTGAGCATTAGAAGGTTGTGAAAAATGGCAAGATTTTGGAAATATCGGCTTTGTGTGATATGTATTCACTTAGTGGAGTTGAGTAAGAAGTTTCTTCGTTATATACTCCCGTCGAGTAAGCGTATCCCTTTATGATTCGTATCGAAAGAGATGAGCTCATCCTTTTGTCGAACTGT